CTTGGACGTGAACCAAAACCATTGACATACTTAAAATGAGAGCCAACACTACATATGGCAACATTTCTAGGATGACATCTAGGTTTAGTCCCATTCCTTACATGCAAACCAGAACCAGTTCTATGGACAGAAGCGTTCCTTGGGCGAGATCCACCACCATGGCCAGCAATGCAAAGAGACCGAGAGCTAGCATCTGGGTTGGCAACGTTTTTCGGATGTGAGCCAGGGGTGGTATCATTTTGCAGATGCAAACTAAAACCATCTGTGCGGTTAACAGCATTCTTTGAATGAGAGTCACCACCATGGACAACACATTTAAAACGAGATCCAGCACCAGAAATAGCAACACCTCTTCAGCCGAGAGCCAGAAGCAACTTTAGCAGCATTTCTCAAATCAGAATTAGCCTTCTTAGTAGCATCTACAGCACAACCATGCTTTAAAACAGTTGAATAGAGAGGATAAGAAGGGCTTGCAGAAACAAAAGAATCACTCAGAGGTGGAAAATCCAATGTAGTAAATGAAACACAAGGCAATACAAAAGGACTTACCTTTGTAGAAACTGGCTTTGAAGTCAAAACAATCTTGATATTATCCGAAAACTGCCCCAATAACCTAGCTCCAAAATGATGAGACGACCTGCAAATAAAAAAAGCTTCTCGATTTTGGCAGTACTTTTCAAGTTGAGAATTAATTTCTACAATCTTTCTATAAATTACCTGTAAACGGTTCAAAGCTGCTATTCGCTGATTTAAAGTTGTGAAAAAATCTTCACCACGTGGTAGGATATCTGAAATGATAACATTGATATTCGGGTTCAAACGTTTAATATCCTTAAAGAGGCAATCGTACTTTTTAAGAATATCTTCAACACTGTCATTCGAATTGTTGGTACCAACATGTACCAAAATCAAATGGTATCGATTGTCCAAAAAGGATATCTTACGTCTTAACCTTTCTATCGTTGCACCAGGAAAAGAATGTAAATCTACTTCATAATTCAGAACATTCGCCGGTAAATATTCATCCAAATATTTAACCATTGAATCTCCCATTATAAGTAATTTCATCTTTTTTGGTTGCATATCGGCAAAACAAACAACTACAAATCGAAACACTGATAAATAATTATATATGCTGTAAATAAAATGCAACTATAAATTAAATGAAATGAAACACTAATCATAAATATAACAAAATACAAACAATTATTAATAGAAAAAAAGAAGGTGGAAGCATTCTGCAGATAACCCGGTAAATGTAAACATCGCCAACTTTGGCGATAACAGTTCAAACCTAGTAACCTAGCTAATTCATCCTATTCGCTTTTGCGAAGGTTGTCGTTGTTCGCATTTGGGGATTTATATTCTTCTCTTATTTATTATTATTTTTTCTGAATTTTTTAACAACGAATAGATAGAAATATTTTCGCATAATTAAACAAGTTTTCGTCTAAAGATGCCGGTTCTCGGCTCGTCAGTTCGGGATCAAAGGAAGAAAATATGGAGGGAGGGGTGAATGCTAATTTGTAACATGGCTGTTCACGTTATGTTCTTAATTATTAACAGGTGTAAGCGCGCAGAACCATGAGGTTTCCAACCCCTATAATAATTTTAAAATGTATAAAGTTCTAGTTTGATTAACAATGCTACTGAAGAAAATTTGATTACTGTTGAAGGTTATTTGTATTGTGAAATATATTATGAAAAAGGACAGGTATTTGTTTCAACGTAAAATGCTTTAAGCTGTACGCAAGTAACTTGGGGAAAAAAATACTGAAATCTATGTAAAATGGATAGGTCATTCATTAATTTTATTACATGGGCATGGCTCTTAACGAAATACATCAATCAACAGGCAAAGTACTTAATAATAAAAAAAAGACACTTGTAATAGAAATATTAGTATTCTATATGAATTAGAGGAAATACGGCTTAATCCTAGTATACGGTGCACATGAGAGTTGGTGAAATTCGGGTTTAAGAGACTAATAAGCGCGCCAATTGTGGTAACCAAGCCGATTTTGGACGCTCTGGAGGAGAGTGCATTTGGGAGCATTTTCGCGCATGCTCATTAAATATTTTAAATTAAGAAGTTTTGATTGGTGCAGATGGAAGAGAAGAATTATTTCAAACCATTGTTTGCAGTTCCGTTAATCTTCGGTCTTCGGCTGAACTGAATGAGAAAGGATAACGTATGTTCAAGTAAAATTTATTTATCTTTTATTTTTTGTATTTTTTAAAATAACAGTAGTGGCTCCGCCGAGTTTCTGATTGGTTAATATTTTTTAATTAATCGGTTTTTGGTCAGATACTGAATATGATTTTAGTTTGATAACGTCTTTTATTCTACAGTTCGAGTTGCTAACGTATATTGTTCTACAGTTCTATTTGCTAACGTATTTTGTTCTACACTTCTATTTGCTAACGTATTTTGTTCTACAGTTAGATAACGTTACTTTTCGATTGTGATGTGCAGTGCTATGAATTGCGAATATTTAAACACGAAATTTTTTTCGAAGTTAGAACTGGAAGGAAAGCTTGCTGTAATTCAATGGGCAGTAGATGCCGGATTGCTGCCGAATTTTAAAAATCGCGCCATGGCCGCACCGTATACTAGGATTTGGAAGGAACGTGGAGTGCTGTTAAGCGTGGGATGAAGGGGACGAAAAAGGTAAGCGAAGAGTTTGGCTCTTATTTGGTGGAATATATGTGGCGGCGCCTGAAAAATAATAAATCGTCATCTGAAAAAATGAAAGACTTTATATTTGCAATAAAAGCAATATATCCGCCACCCGAGTTTGAGGGCCATGGCATTTGAGTTATGATATAGACCATAAAACATATGTGACACTGAGCCCTGAGCCATGGTATTTAATTTATTATATTTGATATGTGAATGTTTTGTATTTGTTGCGATGCATGTTGAAAATTTTATTTTTATTTGTTATAAAGTCTGTTAAAAATTATTTTCAATTTCTAAATGCTTGCTTTTTTTCTTGTGTCTCACGTATGCTTAGGATTTATTATCATATGATTATCATTTTGTTTACTTTTTTTGCCAACTCAAACCTGTGGTGACGCTTTACTTTGAGGTTGCCAAAAATTTGGCGACAAACGTAAACGCATCATTTTGGTGTTGGCGACAATTTTAAAAATCGCGCCAAGGCCGCACCGTATACTAGGATTTTACCGGAAATACAGATAAGTATAATGTAAACGTATGTATAAGAATACAAATTTTTATTTTTAAAATGAATTTTTACATCCCGTTTAATACATTGTTTTCAGTGCTAACTTGAATTTAATACAAATTTATTTTCGTATATCACGTTTAACCTGTTAGTTTTACATCTACATACTTATTATCTGTGAATTTTTACTACATAGTCTGCTAACTTGAATTTACATACACTAAAAACAACGTTTACAAAATATCACGCTTACGGCTCGGCTCAAGCTTGGCGAGTAAAAATGCAACGGCGCCAACGGGTTCTTTCTCGAAGCGCCAACGGGTTCTCTGCGGATGAAAACCCAAGAAGGTAAATAGCTGAAGTAAAGCGAGAAAAATGGCGCAAAAAATACACACCTCACAACTGCTAATTAACACGTGAACTAAATTAGCGCCAATTCTTGACCTCGCGGAAAAATTTACGGGAAAAAAATAACGCCAAATGCTCGCCAAGCTTTCTTGCCAACGGAGATATCAAAGGTACATATCCGGTGATGGCGGAGACCACACTTCCGGTTCCAATTTGCGGGGCTTTTGCTTCTCGAAGGTCTCGGTCAGACTCGCTTTCCCGTTTGCTATCGAGTAGAAAGAGTACCCCGACTGGTTTTTCGACATCGATCTTGACAGGTGTCCAATTATAATTTATTATCAAAACCAAAATTTTTTAAACTTATCATCAAATACAACGTTTGTAATCAAACATATATAATAATAATGTAACAAATAATTATAAACAAAACGCAAAATCGCTACTTTTGATTATAATTTGTAATCAGAAGTTGGGAGGATGTTAATAATACATTATTTATTTTAATGTTTATTATTTTGTATTTTAATTTTCCTGGCTCATGAGCAAGCCTCACTTTGATTTTGCTAGTAAAGTTTAGTAATTAGTGCTTGGCAATAATAATAGATATTCCAGTTTCAAGACGTTAGGGCATAGTATTGGTTGTTTTACGTGATGATAAGGTTTGTTTTCGTTGAAACTGATTTTATTATTTGAATAATTACCGCAGTTATAGTTTTTTTAATGATAGTGGCTGTTTTAAAACTATAATGTGACTCTTTAATTAAAGTTTATTTCAACATTTAGTCAGAAGTCTACTTTAAACAGCCATATGCTTATTCACACAGGAGAGAACCTCATGTGTGTCAAGTATGTATGAAGTCATTTAGTCTAAAGTCTACTTTAAACTCCCATATGCTTATTCACACAGGAGAGAAACCTCATGTGTGTGAAGGTATGTAAGAAGTCCTTTAGTCAGAAGTCTCTTTAAGCAGGCATATGCTTATTCACACAGGAGAGAAACCTCATATGTGTGAAGTATGTAAGAAGTCATTTAAACGGAAGGATCAATTTAAACGAGCATATGCTTAGTCACACAGGAGAGAAACCTCATGTGTGTGAAGTATGTAAGAAATCATTTAGTCTACTTTAAACAGCCATATGCTTATTCACACAGGAGAGATACCTCATGTGTGTCAAGTATGTATGAAGTCATTTAGTCTAAAGTCTACTTTAAACTCCCATATGCTTATTCACACAGGAGAGAAACCTCATGTGTGTGAAGTATGTAAGAAGTCATTTAAGTGGAAGTATCAATTAAACAAGCATATGCTTATTCACACATTAGAGAAACCTCATGTGTGTGAAGTATGTAAGAAGTCCTTTAGTCAAAAGTCTCATTTAAAGCAGGCATATGCTTATTCACACAGGAGAGAAACCTCATGTGTGTGAAGTATGTAAGAAGTCATTTAAACGAAGGATCAATTAAACGAGCATATGCTTAGTCACACAGGAGAGAAACCTCATGTGTGTGAAGTATGTAAGAAGTCCTTTAGTCAGAAGTCTACTTTAAACGCAGCCATATGCTTATTCACACAGGAGAGAAACCTCATGTGTGTGAAGTATGTATGAAGTCATTTAGTCGGAAGTCTACTTTAAACACCCATATGCTTATTCACACAGGAGAGAAACCTCATGTGTGTGAAGTATGTAAGAAGTCCTTTAGTCAGAAGTCTTATTTAAGCAGCCATATGCTTATTCACACAGGAGAGAAACCTCATGTGTGTGAAGTATGTAAGAAGTCATTTAAACGAAAGGATCAATTAAACGAGCATATGCTTAGTCACACAGGAGAGAAACCTCATGTGTGTGAAGTATGTAAGAAGTCCTTTAGTCAGAAGTCTATTAAAGCAGCCATATGCTTATTCACACAGGAGAGAAACCTCATGTGTGTGAAGTATGTAAGAAGTCATTTAAACGGAAGGATAAATTAAACGAGCATATGCTTAGTCACACAGGAGAGAAACCTCATGTGTGTGAAGTATGTAAGAAATCCTTTAGTCAGAAGTCTACTTTAAACAGCCATATGCTTATTCACACAGGAGAGAAACCTCATGTGTGTCAAGTATGTATGAAGTCATTTAGTCTAAAGTCTACTTTAAACTCCCATATGCTTATTCACACAGGAGAGAAACCTCATGTGTGTGAAGTATGTAAGAAGTCATTTTAGTCAGAAGTCTCAATTTTAAACAGGCATATGCTTATTCACACAGGAGAGAAACCTCATGTGTGTGAAGTATGTAAGAAGTCATTTAAGTGGAAGGATCAATTTAAACAAGCATATGCTTAGTTCACACAGGAGAGAAACCTCATGTGTGTGAAGTATGTAAGAATCATTTAGTCAAAGTCTCATTTAAACAGCATATGCTTATTCACACAGGAGAGAAAACCTCATGTGTGTGAAGTATGTAAGGAAGTCCTTTAGTCAAAAGTCTCATTTAAAGCAGGCATATGCTTATTCACACAGGAGAGAAACCTCATGTGTGTGAAGAAGTATGTAAGAAGTCATTTAAACGGAAGGATAAATTAATTAAACGAGCATATGCTTAGTCACACAGGAGAGAAACCTCATGTGTGTGTGAAGTATGTAAGAAATCCTTTAGTCAGAAGTCTACTTTAAACAGCCATATGCTTATTCACACAGGAGAGATAACCTCATGTGTGTCAAGTATGTATGAAGTCATTTAGTCTAAAGTCTACTTTAAACTCCCATATGCTTATTCACACAGGAGAGAAACCTCATGTGTGTGAAGTATGTAAGAAGGCCTTTAGTCAGAAGTCTCATCTAAGCAGGCATATGCTTATTCACACAGGAGAGAAACCTCATGTGTGTGAAGTATGTAAGAAGTCATTTAAGTCGGAAGGATCAATTAAACGAGCATATGCTTAGTCACACAGGAGAGAAACCTCATGTGTGTGAAGTATGTAAGAAATCCTTTAGTCAGAAGTCTACTTTAAACAGCCATATGCTTATTCACACAGGAGAGAAACCTCATGTGTGTCAAGTATGTATGAAGTCATTTAGTCTAAAGTCTACTTTAAACTCCCATATGCTTATTCACACAGGAGAGAAACCTCATGTGTGTGAAGTATGTAAGGAGTCCTTTAGTCAGAAGTCTCATCAAAGCAGGCACATGCTTATTCACAGAGGAGAGATACCTCATGTGTGTCAAGTATGTATGAAGTCATTTAGTCTAAAGTCTACTTTAAACTCCCATATGCTTATTCATACAGGAGAGAAACCTCATGTGTGTGAAGTATGTAAGAAGGCCTTTAGTCAGAAGTCTGATCTAAGCAGGCATATGCTTATTCACACAGGAGAGAAACCTCATGTGTATGAAGTATGTAAGAAGTCATTTAAGCGGAAGGATCAATTAAACGACCATATGCTTAGTCACACAGGAGAGAAACCTCATGTGTGTGAAGTATGTAAGGAGTCCTTTAGTCAGAAGTCTCATCAAAGCAGGCACATGCTTATTCACACAGGAGAGAAACCTCATGTGTGTGAAGTATGTAAGAAGTCATTTAAACTGAAGGATTAATTAAACGAGCATATGCTTAGTCACACAGGAGAGAAACCTCATGTGTGTGAAGTATGTAAGAAATCCTTTAGTCAGAAGTCTACTTTAAACAGCCATATGCTTATTCACACAGGAGAGATACCTCATGTGTGTCAAGTATGTATGAAGTCATTTAGTCTAAAGTCTACTTTAAACTCCCATATGCTTATTCATACAGGAGAGAAACCTCATGTGTGTGAAGTATGTAAGAAGGCCTTTAGTCAGAAGTCTGATCTAAGCAGGCATATGCTTATTCACACAGGAGAGAAACCTCATGTGTATGAAGTATGTAAGAAGTCATTTAAGCGGAAGGATCAATTAAACGAGCATATGCTTAGTCACACAGGAGAGAAACCTCGTGTGTGTGAAGTATGTAAGAAGTCATTTAAGTGGAAGGATCAATTAAACAGGCATATGCTTAGTCACACAGGAGAGAAACCTCATGTGTGTGAAGTATGTAAGAAATCCTTTAGTCAGAAGTCTACTTTAAACAGCCATATGCTTATTCACACAGGAGAGATACCTCATGTGTGTCAAGTATGTATGAAGTCATTTAGTCTAAAGTCTACTTTAAACTCCCATATGCTTATTCACACAGGAGAGAAACCTCATGTGTGTGAAGTATGTAAGAAGGCCTTTAGTCAGAAGTCTCATCTAAGCAGGCATATGCTTATTCACACAGGAGAGAAACCTCATGTGTGTGAAGTATGTAAGGAGTCCTTTAGTCAGAAGTCTCATCAAAGCAGGCACATGCTTATTCACACAGGAGAGAAACCTCATGTGTGTGAAGTATGTAAGAAGTCATTTAAACGGAAGGATAAATTAAACGAGCATATGCTTAGTCACACAGGAGAGAAACCTCATGTGTGAAGTATGTAAGAAATCCTTTAGTCAGAAGTCTACTTTAAACAGCCATATGCTTATTCACACAGGAGAGATACCTCATGTGTGTCAAGTATGTATGAAGTCATTTAGTCTAAAGTCTACTTTAAACTCCCATATGCTTATTCACACAGGAGAGAAAAGAAACCTCATGTGTGTGAAGTATGTAAGAAGGCCTTTAGTCAGAAGTCTCACCTAAGCAGGCATATGCTTATTCACACAGGAGAGAAACCTCATGTGTGTGAAGTATGTAAGAAGTCATTTAATCGGAAGGATCAATTAAACGAGCATATGCTTAGTCACACAGGAGAGAAACCTCATGTGTGTGTGAAGTATGTAAGGAGTCCTTTAGTCAGAAGTCTCATCAAAGCAGGCACATGCTTATTCACACAGGAGAGAAACCTCATGTGTGTGAAGTATGTAAGAAGTCATTTAAACGGAAGGATAAATTAAACGAGCATATGCTTAGTCACACAGGAGAGAAACCTCATGTGTGTGAAGTATGTAAGAAATCCTTTAGTCAGAAGTCTACTTTAAACAGCCATATGCTTATTCACACAGGAGAGATACCTCATGTGTGTCAAGTATGTATGAAGTCATTTAGTCTAAAGTCTACTTTAAACTCCCATATGCTTATTCCCACAGGAGAGAAACCTCATGTGTGTGAAGTATGTAAGAAGGCCTTTAGTCAGAAGTCTCATCTAAGCAGGCATATGCTTATTCACACAGGAGAGAAACCTCATGTGTGTGAAGTATGTAAGAAGTCATTTAAACGGAAGGATAAATTAAACGAGCATATGCTTAGTCACACAGGAGAGAAACCTCATGTGTGTGAAGTATGTAAGAAATCCTTTAGTCAGAAGTCTACTTTAAACAGCCATATGCTTATTCACACAGGAGAGATACCTCATGTGTGTCAAGTATGTATGAAGTCATTTAGTCTAAAGTCTACTTTAAACTCCCATATGCTTATTCACACAGGAGAGAAACCTCATGTGTGTGAAGTATGTAAGAAGTCATTTAAGTCAGAAGTCTCAAATCTAAACAGCATATGCTTATTCACACAGGAGAGAAACCTCATGTGTGTGTGAAGTATGTAAGAAGTCATTTAAGTGGAAGGATCAATTAAACAAGCATATGCTTAGTCACACAGGAGAGAAACCTCATGTGTGTGTGAAGTATGTAAGAAGTCCTTTAGTCAAAAGTCTCAATTAAACAGGCATATGCTTAGTCACACAGGAGAGAAACCTCATGTGTGTGAAGTATGTAAGAAATCCTTTAGTCAGAAGTCTACTTTAAACAGCCATATGCTTATTCACACAGGAGAGATACCTCATGTGTGTCAAGTATGTATGAAGTCATTTAGTCTAAAGTCTACTTTAAACTCCCATATGCTTATTCACAGGAGAGAAACCTCATGTGTGTGAAGTATGTAAGAAGGCCTTTAGTCAGAAGTCTCATCTAAGCAGGCATATGCTTATTCACACAGGAGAGAAACCTCATGTGTGTGAAGTATGTAAGAAGTCATTTAAGCGGAAGGATCAATTAAACGAGCATATGCTTAGTCACACAGGAGAGAAACCTCATGTGTGTGAAGTATGTAAGGAGTCCTTTAGTCAGAAGTCTCATCAAAGCAGGCACATGCTTATTCACACAGGAGAGAAACCTCATGTGTGTGAAGTATGTAAGAAGTCATTTAAACGGAAGGATAAATTAAACGAGCATATGCTTAGTCACACAGGAGAGAAACCTCATGTGTGTGAAGTATGTAAGAAATCCTTTAGTCAGAAGTCTACTTTAAACAGCCATATGCTTATTCACACAGGAGAGATACCTCATGTGTGTCAAGTATGTATGAAGTCATTTAGTCTAAAGTCTACTTTAAACACCCATATGCTTATTCACACAGGAGAGAAACCTCATGTGTGTGAAGTATGTAAGAAGGCCTTTAGTCAGAAGTCTGATCTAAGCAGGCATATGCTTATTCACACAGGAGAGAAACCTCATGTGTATGAAGTATGTAAGAAGTCATTTAAGCGGAAGGATCAATTAAACGAGCATATGCTTAGTCACACAGGAGAGAAACCTCATGTGTGTGAAGTATGTAAGGAGTCATTTAAGTGGAAGGATCAATTAAACAGGCATATGCTTAGTCACACAGGAGAGAAACCTCATGTGTGTGAAGTATGTAAGAAATCCTTTAGTCAGAAGTCTACTTTAAACAGCCATATGCTTATTCACACAGGAGAGATACCTCATGTGTGTCAAGTATGTATGAAGTCATTTAGTCTAAAGTCTACTTTAAACTCCCATATGCTTATTCACACAGGAGAGAAACCCCATGTGTGTGAAGTATGTAAGAAGGCCTTTAGTCAGAAGTCTCATCTAAGCAGGCATATGCTTATTCCCACAGGAGAGAAACCTCATGTGTGTGAAGTATGTAAGGAGTCCTTTAGTCAGAAGTCTCATCAAAGCAGGCACATGCTTATTCACACAGGAGAGAAACCTCATGTGTGTGAAGTATGTAAGAAGTCATTTAAACGGAAGGATAAATTAAACGAGCATATGCTTAGTCACACAGGAGAGAAACCTCATGTGTGTGAAGTATGTAAGAAATCCTTTAGTCAGAAGTCTACTTTAAACAGCCATATGCTTATTCACACAGGAGAGATACCTCATGTGTGTCAAGTATGTATGAAGTCATTTAGTCTAAAGTCTACTTTAAACTCCCATATGCTTATTCATACAGGAGAGAAACCTCATGTGTGTGAAGTATGTAAGAAGGCCTTTAGTCAGAAGTCTGATCTAAGCAGGCATATGCTTATTCACACAGGAGAGAAACCTCATGTGTGTGAAGTATGTAAGAAGTCATTTAAGCGGAAGGATCAATTAAACGAGCATATGCTTAGTCACACAGGAGAGAAACCTCATGTGTGTGAAGTATGTAAGGAGTCCTTTAGTCAGAAGTCTCATCAAAGCAGGCACATGCTTATTCACACAGGAGAGAAACCTCATGTGTGTGAAGTATGTAAGAAGTCATTTAAACGAAGGATAATTAATTAAACGAGCATATGCTTAGTCACACAGGAGAGAAACCTCATGTGTGTGAAGTATGTAAGAAATCCTTTAGTCAGAAGTCTACTTTAAACAGCCATATGCTTATTCACACAGGAGAGATAACCTCATGTGTGTCAAGTATGTATGAAGTCATTTAGTCTAAAGTCTACTTTAAACTCCCATATGCTTATTCACACAGGAGAGAAACCTCATGTGTGTGAAGTATGTAAGAAGGCCTTTAGTCAGAAGTCTCATCTAAGCAGGCATATGCTTATTCACACAGGAGAGAAACCTCATGTGTGTGAAGTATGTAAGAAGTCATTTAAGCGGAAGGATCAATTAAACGAGCATATGCTTAGTCACACAGGAGAGAAACCTCATGTGTGTGAAGTATGTAAGGAGTCCTTTAGTCAGAAGTCTCATCAAAGCAGGCACATGCTTATTCACACAGGAGAGAAACCTCATATGTGTGAAGTATGTAAGAAGTCATTTAAACGGAAGGATAAATTAAACGAGCATATGCTTAGTCACACAGGAGAGAAGCCTCATGTGTGTGAAGTATGTAAGAAATCCTTTAGTCAGAAGTCTACTTTAAACAGCCATATGCTTATTCACACAGGAGAGATACCTCATGTGTGTCAAGTATGTATGAAGTCATTTAGTCTAAAGTCTACTTTAAACTCCCATATGCTTATTCACACAGGAGAGAAACCTCATGTGTGTGAAGTATGTAAGAAGGCCTTTAGTCAGAAGTCTCATCTAAGCAGGCATATGCTTATTCACACAGGAGAGAAACCTCATGTGTGTGAAGTATGTAAGAAGTCATTTAAACGGAAGGATAAATTAAACGAGCATATGCTTAGTCACACAGGAGAGAAACCTCATGTGTGTGAAGTATGTAAGAAATCCTTTAGTCAGAAGTCTACTTTAAACAGCCATATGCTTATTCACACAGGAGAGATACCTCATGTGTGTCAAGTATGTATGAAGTCATTTAGTCTAAAGTCTACTTTAAACTCCCATATGCTTATTCACACAGGAGAGAAACCTCATGTGTGTGAAGTATGTAAGAAGTCATTTAAGTGGAAGTATCAATTAAACAAGCATATGCTTATTCACACATTAGAGAAACCTCATGTGTGTGAAGTATGTAAGAAGTCATTTAAGTGGAAGGATCAATTAAACAAGCATATGCTTAGTCACACAGGAGAGAAACCTCATGTGTGTGAAGTATGTAAGGAGTCCTTTAGTCAAAAGTCTCATCAAAGCAGGCACATGCTTATTCACACAGGAGAGAAACCTCATGTGTGTGAAGTATGTAAGAAGTCATTTAAACGGAAGGATAAATTAAACGAGCATATGCTTAGTCACACAGGAGAGAAACCTCATGTGTGTGAAGTATGTAAGAAATCCTTTAGTCAGAAGTCTACTTTAAACAGCCATATGCTTATTCACACAGGAGAGATACCTCATGTGTGTCAAGTATGTATGAAGTCATTTAGTCTAAAGTCTACTTTAAACTCCCATATGCTTATTCACACAGGAGAGAAACCTCATGTGTGTGAAGTATGTAAGAAGGCCTTTAGTCAGAAGTCTCATCTAAGCAGGCATATGCTTATTCACACAGGAGAGAAACCTCATGTGTGTGTGAAGTATGTAAGAAGTCATTTAAGCGGAAGGATCAAGAAGTTAATTAAACGAGCATATGCTTAGTTCACACAGGAGAGAAAGAAACCTCATGTGTGTGAAGTATGTAAAGAAGTCATTTAAACGGAAGGATAAATTAAACGAGCATATGCTTAGTCACACAGGAGAGAAACCTCATGTGTGTGAAGTATGTAAGAAATCCTTTAGTCAGAAGTCTACTTTAAACAGCCATATGCTTATTCACACAGGAGAGATACCTCATGTGTGTCAAGTATGTATGAAGTCATTTAGTCTAAAGTCTACTTTAAACTCCCATATGCTTATTCACACAGGAGAGAAACCTCATGTGTGTGAAGTATGTAAGAAGTCCTTTAGTCAGAAGTCTCATCTAAGCAGGCATATGCTTATTCACACAGGAGAGAAACCTCATGTGTGTGAAGTATGTAAGAAGTCATTTAAGTCGGAAGGATCTAATTAAACGAGCATATGCTTAGTCACACAGGAGAGAAACCTCATGTGTGTGAAGTATGTAAGAAGTCATTTAAACGGAAGTATCAATTAAACAAGCATATGCTTATTCACACAGGAGAGAAACCTCATGTGTGTGAAGTATGTAAGAAGTCATTTAGTCGGAAGGATCAATTTAAACAGCCATATGCTTAGTCACACAGGAGAGAAACCTCATGTGTGTGAAGTATGTAAGGAGTCCTTTAGTCAAAAGTCTCATCAAAGCAGGCACATGCTTATTCACACAGGAGAGAAACCTCATGTGTGTGAAGTATGTAAGAAGTCATTTAAAACGGAAGGATAAATTAAACGAGCATATGCTTAGTCACACAGGAGAGAAAGAAACCTCATGTGTGTGAAGTATGTAAGAAATCCTTTAGTCAGAAGTCTACTTTAAACAGCCATATGCTTATTCACACAGGAGAGATACCTCATGTGTGTCAAGTATGTATGAAGTCATTTAGTCTAAAGTCTACTTTAAACTCCCATATGCTTATTCACACAGGAGAGAAACCTCATGTGTGTGAAGTATGTAAGAAGGCCTTTAGTCAGAAGTCTCATCTAAGCAGGCATATGCTTATTCACACAGGAGAGAAACCTCATGTGTGTGAAGTATGTAAGAAGTCATTTAAGCGGAAGGATCAATTAAACGAGCATATGCTTAGTCACACAGGAGAGAAACCTCATGTGTGTGAAGTATGTAAGAAGTCATTTAAACGGAAGGATAAATTAAACGAGCATATGCTTAGTCACACAGGAGAGAAACCTCATGTGTGTGAAGTATGTAAGAAATCCTTTAGTCAGAAGTCTACTTTAAACAGCCATATGCTTATTCACACAGGAGAGATACCTCATGTGTGTCAAGTATGTATGAAGTCATTTAGTCTAAAGTCTACTTTAAACTCCCATATGCTTATTCACACAGGAGAGAAACCTCATGTGTGTGAAGTATGTAAGAAGGCCTTTAGTCAGAAGTCTCATCTAAGCAGGCATATGCTTATTCACACAGGAGAGAGAAAACCTCATGTGTGTGAAGTATGTAAGAAGTCATTTAAACGGAAGGATCAATTAAACGAGCATATGCTTAGTCACACAGGAGAGAAACCTCATGTGTGTGAAGTATGTAAGAAATCCTTTAGTCAGAAGTCTACTTTAAACAGCCATATGCTTATTCACACAGGAGAGATACCTCATGTGTGTCAAGTATGTATGAAGTCATTTAGTCTAAAGTCTACTTTAAACTCCCATATGCTTATTCACACAGGAGAGAAACCTCATGTGTGTGAAGTATGTAAGAAGGCCTTTAGTCAGAAGTCTCATCTAAGCAGGCATATGCTTATTCACACAGGAGAGAAACCTCATGTGTGTGAAGTATGTAAGAAGTCATTTAAGTGGAAGGATCAATTAAACGAGCATATGCTTAGTCACACAGGAGAGAAACCTCATGTGTGTGAAGTATGTAAGAAATCCTTTAGTCAGAAGTCTACTTTAAACAGCCATATGCTTATTCACACAGGAGAGATACCTCATGTGTGTCAAGTATGTATGAAGTCATTTAGTCTAAAGTCTACTTTAAACTCCCATATGCTTATTCACACAGGAGAGAAACCTCATGTGTGTGAAGTATGTAAGAAGTCATTTAAGTGGAAGTATCAATTAAACAAGCATATGCTTATTCACACATTAGAGAAACCTCATGTGTGTGAAGTATGTAAGAAGTCATTTAAGTGGAAGGATCAATTAAACAGCATATGCTTAGTCACACAGGAGAGAAACCTCATGTGTGTGAAGTATGTAAGGAAGTCCTTTAGTCAAAAGTCTCATCAAAGCAGGCACATGCTTATTCACACAGGAGAGAAACCTCATGTGTGTGAAGTATGTAAGAAGTCATTTAGTCAAAGGAAGTAATTAAAAGAGCATATGCTTATTCACACAGGAGAGAAACCTCATGTGTGTGAAGTATGTAAGAAGTCATTTAAACGGAAGAAGGATAAATTAAAAACGAGCATATGCTTAGTCACACAGGAGAGAAACCTCATGTGTGTGAAGTATGTAAGAAATCCTTTAGTCAGAAGTCTACTTTAAACAGCCATATGCTTATTCACACAGGAGAGATACCTCATGTGTGTCAAGTATGTATGAAGTCATTTAGTCTAAAGTCTACTTTAAACTCCCATATGCTTATTCACAGGAGAGAAACCTCATGTGTGTGAAGTATGTAAGAAGGCCTTTAGTCAGAAGTCTCATCTAAGCAGGCATATGCTTATTCACACAGGAGAGAAACCTCATGTGTGTGAAGTATGTAAGAAGTCATTTAAACGGAAAGGATCAATTTAAACGAGCATATGCTTAGTCACACAGGAGAGAAACCTCATGTGTGTGAAGTATGTAAGAAATCCTTTAGTCAGAAGTCTACTTTAAACAGCCATATGCTTATTCACACAGGAGAGATACCTCATGTGTGTCAAGTATGTATGAAGTCATTTAGTCTAAAGTCTACTTTAAACTCCCATATATGCTTATTCACACAGGAGAGAAACCTCATGTGTGTGAAGTATGTAAGAAGTCCTTTAGTCAGAAGTCTCATCTAAGCAGGCATATGCTTATTCACACAGGAGAGAAACCTCATGTGTGTGAAGTATGTAAGAAGTCATTTAAGTGGAAGGATCAATTAAACGAGCATATGCTTAGTCACACAGGAGAGAAACCTCATGTGTGTGAAGTATGTAAGAAATCCTTTAGTCAGAAGTCTACTTTAAACAGCCATATGCTTATTCACACAGGAGAGAAACCTCATGTGTGTCAAGTATGTATGAAGTCATTTAGTCTAAAGTCTACTTTAAACTCCCATATGCTTATTCACACAGGAGAGAAACCTCATGTGTGTGAAGTATGTAAGAAGTCATTTAGTCTGGAAGTCTATCAATTAAACAGCATATGCTTATTCACACAGGAGAGAAACCTCATGTGTGTGAAGTATGTAAGAAGTCATTTAAGTGGAAGGATCAATTTAAACAAGCATATGCTTAGTCACACAGGAGAGAAACCTCATGTGTGTGAAGTATGTAAGAAGTCATTTAGTCAAAAGTCTCATCAAAACAGGCATATGCTTATTCACACAGGAGAGAAACCTCATGTGTGTGAAGTATGTAAGAAGTCATTTAGTCAGAAGTCTATTAAACAAGCATATGCTTATTCACACAGGAGAGAAACCTCATGTGTGTGAAGTATGTAAGAAGTCATTTAGTCAGAAGGATCTAATTAAACAAGCATATGCTTAGTCACACAGGAGAGAAACCTCATGTGTGTGAAGTATGTAAGGAGTCCTTTAGTCAGAAGTCTCATCAAAGCAGGCACATGCTTATTCACACAGGAGAGAAACCTCATGTGTGTGAAGTATGTAAGAAGTCATTTAAACGGAAGGATAAATTAAACGAGCATATGCTTAGTCACACAGGAGAGAAAACCTCATGTGTGTGTGAAGTATGTAAGAAATCCTTTAGTCAGAAGTCTACTTTAAACAGCCATATGCTTATTCACACAGGAGAGATACCTCATGTGTGTCAAGTATGTATGAAGTCATTTAGTCTAAAGTCTACTTTAAACTCCCATATGCTTATTCACACAGGAGAGAAACCTCATGTGTGTGAAGTATGTAAGAAGGCCTTTAGTCAGAAGAAGTCTCATCTAAGCAGGCATATGCTTATTCACACAGGAGAGAAACCTCATGTGTGTGAAGTATGTAAGAAGAAGTCATTTAAGCGGAAGGATCAATTAAACGAGCATATGCTTAGTCACACAGGAGAGAAACCTCATGTGTGTGAAGTATGTAAGAAGTCATTTAAACGGAAGGATAAATTAAACGAGCATATGCTTAGTCACACAGGAGAGAAACCTCATGTGTGTGAAGTATGTAAGAAATCCTTTAGTCAGAAGTCTACTTTAAACAGCCATATGCTTATTCACACAGGAGAGATACCTCATGTGTGTCAAGTATGTATGAAGTCATTTAGTCTAAAGTCTACTTTAAACTCCCATATGCTTATTCACACAGGAGAGAAACCTCATGTGTGTGAAGTATGTAAGAAGGCCTTTAGTCAGAAGTCTCATCTAAGCAGGCATATGCTTATTCACACAGGAGAGAAACCTCATGTGTGTGAAGTATGTAAGAAGTCATTTAAGTGGAAGGATCAATTAAACAAGCATATGCTTAGTCACACAGGAGAGAAACCTCATGTGTGTGAAGTATGTAAGAAGTCCTTTAGTCAGAAGTCTACTTTAAACAGCCATATGCTTATTCACACAGGAGAGATACCTCATGTGTGTCAAGTATGTATGAAGTCATTTAGTCTAAAGTCTACTTTAAACTCCCATATGCTTATTCACACAGGAGAGAAACCTCATGTGTGTGAAGTATGTAAGAAGTCATTTAAGTCAGAAGTCTCAATTAAGCAAGCATATGCTTATTCACACATTAGAGAAACCTCATGTGTGTGAAGTATGTAAGAAGTCATTTAAGTGGAAGGATCAATTAAACAAGCATATGCTTAGTCACACAGGAGAGAAACCTCATGTGTGTGAAGTATGTAAGGAGTCCTTTAGTCAGAAGTCTCATCAAAGCAGGCACATGCTTATTCACACAGGAGAGAAACCTCATGTGTGTGAAGTATGTAAGAAGTCATTTAAACGGAAGGATAAATTAAACGAGCATATGCTTAGTCACACAGGAGAGAAACCTCATGTGTGTGAAGTATGTAAGAAATCCTTTAGTCAGAAGTCTACTTTAAACAGCCATATGCTTATTCACACAGGAGAGATACCTCATGTGTGTCAAGTATGTATGAAGTCATTTAGTCTAAAGTCTACTTTAAACTCCCATATGCTTATTCACACAGGAGAGAAACCTCATGTGTGTGAAGTATGTAAGAAGGCCTTTAGTCAGAAGTCTCATCTAAGCAGGCATATGCTTATTCACACAGGAGAGAAACCTCATGTGTGTGAAGTATGTAAGAAGTCATTTAATCGGAAGGATCAATTAAACAGCATATGCTTAGTCACACAGGAGAGAAACCTCATGTGTGTGAAGTATGTAAGAAGTCATTTAAACGGAAGGATAAATTAAACGAGCATATGCTTAGTCACACAGGAGAGAAACCTCATGTGTGTGAAGTATGTAAGAAATCCTTTAGTCAGAAGTCTACTTTAAACAGCCATATGCTTATTCACACAGGAGAGATACCTCATGTGTGTCAAGTATGTATGAAGTCATTTAGTCTAAAGTCTACTTTAAACTCCCATATGCTTATTCACACAGGAGAGAAACCTCATGTGTGTGAAGTATGTAAGAAGGCCTTTAGTCAGAAGTCTCATCTAAGCAGGCATATGCATTATGCTTATTCACACAGGAGAGAAACCTCATGTGTGTGAAGTATGTAAGAAGTCATTTAAACGGAAGGATCAAATTAAACGAGCATATGCTTAGTCACACAGGAGAGAAACCTCATGTGTGTGAAGTATGTAAGAAATCCTTTAGTCAGAAGTCTACTTTAAACAGCCATATGCTTATTCACACAGGAGAGATACCTCATGTGTGTCAAGTATGTATGAAGTCATTTAGTCTAAAGTCTACTTTAAACTCCCATATGCTTATTCACACAGGAGAGAAACCTCATGTGTGTGAAGTATGTAAGAAGTCCTTTAGTCAGAAGTCTCATCTAAGCAGGCATATGCTTATTCACACAGGAGAGAAACCTCATGTGTGTGAAGTATGTAAGAAGTCATTTAAACGGAAGGATCAATTAAACGAGCATATGCTTAGTCACACAGGAGAGAAACCTCATGTGTGTGAAGTATGTAAGAAATCCTTTAGTCAGAAGTCTACTTTAAACAGCCATATGCTTATTCACACAGGAGAGATACCTCATGTGTGTCAAGTATGTATGAAGTCATTTAGTCTAAAGTCTACTTTAAACACCCATATGCTTATTCACACAGGAGAGAAACCTCATGTGTGTGAAGTATGTAAGAAGTCATTTAAGTGAAGTCTATTAAACAGCATATGCTTATTCACACAGGAGAGAAACCTCATGTGTGTGAAGTATGTAAGAAGTCATTTAGTCAGAAGTCTATTAAACAGCATATGCTTATCACACAGGAGAGAAACCTCATGTGTGTGAAGTATGTAAGAAGTCCTTTAGTCAGAAGTCTCATTAAAGCAGCATATGCTTATTCACACAGGAGAGAAAACCTCATGTGTGTGAAGTATGTAAGAAGTCATTTAGTCAGAAGTCTAATTTAAACAGCATATGCTTATTCACACAGGAGAGAAAACCTCATGTGTGTGAAGTATGTAAGAAGTCATTTAAACGGAAGGATCAATTTAAACGAGCATATGCTTAGTCACACAGGAGAGAAACCTCATGTGTGTGAAGTATGTAAGAAATCCTTTAGTCAGAAGTCTACTTTAAACAGCCATATGCTTATTCACACAGGAGAGA